TGCATTCACCACAGCTGCAATAATCACAGCATGAATGATAATGATTTAACTTTTAAAAGAAGGTAAGGTTTATTTTTATGATTATAATATAGGTGAAAAGGCAGCAATAAGGTGATAGATAGAGTCCACTAAAAAAAGGTAACTGTACTCAATCACTTAAGAGAAAAAGACTAGACAGTAATAAATGATCACAGTCATCATTTTTATATTATATATAATCATTATGGTTACATATAACTAAATCTAAAAACAGGTGTTTTCCCTGTATTTCCAAAATTGTCTCTAGTACAATTGTGTTGCTTTTGTAATAAGATAAATAAAATTTGTAGCTGAGTTTGTAGCAATCATGACGCTCCGATTCTGTCTTAAAGTCAGCGACTACATGATACCACAGGGTGCTCCATGAGGGCCTATGTGCACCTGCTCGTCCACAGGCTCTTGTTCCCCATTAGTTGTACATCAGATAAATAAATCCCCCAGGAACTCTCTGGAAAAAGTCTCATGAAAATAGAGCTTATCATAGTTCAATATTTTTTCTTCAAATTTAGCAGAAACCACTTCTAACAATAATTTTCAAAGTTGGGTGGCCTCAGGAAGACCACTTACCTGCTCCAGACCTCAGTTATACTTTTTTCACCTACAAAGGATGTTGGACAAAATAACTTTCTCAGAGCCCTTTCAATCTGGGATATAATAAAAGTAAATCAGCAATTGCTTGCTTATATTAACCATGACAACTGACTCAGCTAGCTAGGGAAGAGAATCTAATGGACTTAACTTTCACATGCACAGGAAATGTGGAAAAATCTTAATAATGTACGACGTTGGCCTGGGCTTTTGGAAAACTCCTCATGTATGACTCTGCATAATTTCTTCATCTGTGGGCACCCTTGCTAACTGATTATTTTGCTTCATAGGCCTCAGGGCATGTCCAAAATGTTTTCAGTTGGTTTTATTGTCTTTATGGAGGTACAATTTACATAAGGTTAAACATACTCAGTTATGATAGTTAAGGTTTATTGTGCCAACCTGGCCAATAAACACGTGAGATTAAATGAAGGGCGGAGCAATAAATGGCTTGGTGAGCCTCGCCTTTCTAGTTCTCAGGTCTCTTGCTTTCTGATGGCCAGACCAGGGTGCAGTTGCCTTAGCCAGTTCCCTGCTTCAGCTTGCAAGGCTCACTTCTTGTGAGACATCCCTGAGGAGAAGCCACATGGACTACCCCGATGCAGCCCTGGGTGCTGGAGCAGCCGCGTGGAGACCCCTGCCAGCGCTGAGATGCTTACACGCTCACTGATTCGGCTTTCCTCCTGCAGTCAGCATCACTGTGTGTGTTTTGTGAGATTGAGGAGGACTTTGTAGATCAGTGTTGGACATATGGGCTAATGTTGGACTTATGGACTTGGACTGGACTTGGTGGGGATGCTTTCTTAAAGTACACTTACCTTTTATAAAAAACTCTTCCTTATATACATATGAGGTTTTGTGGATTTGTTTCTCTAGTCTACCCAGACTAACACATAGTAGAGTACATGTTTTGGTGAGTTTTGACATATTTGTTCAGTACAATTAAGCAACAGAAACATAACATCACCCCCAAAGTTCTGTGTTTCATTATTGTTAGTCCCTTCTCCCAGCCTAGGTAACTACTGATTTTGTCACTAGAGTCAGAATAAAGTTTTAACATATTTTCTCAATCTTGGAGAGTGTGGATACATCCTGTTTCAGTCAGGGTTTTAAGTTGACAGCAACAGAAACAAACTCTTCCTGATTTCAGTAGCAAAGGAATTTGTTGAAAGTGTGGGGGCAGCTCACGGAATCACTGGAAGCCTGGAGAACCAGGTATGGACCTCCAATCACAGAGGGCAGCTATTGGGGGGGGGGGGCGGTAGGAAGACACTAAATGCTACAGCTGAGCTCCCTACACTGCCTGTAACAGGGCGTGTTCACCATCAGTAAGCTTGCTGACACTACTACCTTAGAAACTCTTCAAAACTAGAAAGTATGTCACGTATATCTGCCTTGGGAATTCTTTCTGCAACTTTCAGTGTCAACTGAGGTGAATGCAACTGAGTGGCAGATCCTAGATCTTGTTTCCATTATGCCTTAGCACTTTCAGTCTCTTTAATGGGAGGTAGCTGGTCAAGACTCACAGGTGGGAGAATTCTGCAGTTATAGCATAGGGTTAAAATGCTGCTTGGCCCCCCTCCAAAAGAGAGAGCCGATATCAACAACCCTGGTTTTTACTATTTGATGGTTAGACTGCACGGTGAATCTGGAGCTTCACATCTAATGGCCATGACAGCCGGGTCATATTTGAGAAGCATCTCCTGGGTACAGAGAAGTGTACCAGTACTGAAAGTGGGGACCAGGCCATCAATGAACTTACTGTTCAGAAAGGGATATACTTGATCAACTTTTTCTTTTTTTACTTTTAGAAATCATTTTATTGGGGGCTCATACAACACTTTTCACAATCTATAAATCCATCTATTGTGTCAAGCACATTTAAAAAATCATTTTATTAGGGGCTCATACAACTCTTATCCCAATTCATACATACATCAGTTGTGTAAAGCACATTTGTACATTCATTACCCTCATCATTCTTAAAACATTTGCTCTCCACCTAAGCCCCTGGCATCAGCTCCTCATTTTTTCCCCTCACACCCGACTCACCCCTCCCTCATTAACCCTTGATAATTTATAAATTATTATTTTGTCATATCTTGCCCTGTCTGACATCTCCCTTCACCCACTTTTCTATTGTCCGTCCCCCAAGGAGGAGGTTATATGCAGATCC